CCACACATTGGTGCTTACAAAGACAGCCTGACAGACAGACAGACATACTGACAGTCAAAACAAGTAAACAAAAGTTTTTTTTCTATCTTGTATTTTTTTTAAGAAATATTCCCTTTTGGGATATAAAGAAAATTCCATTATTTTCATATTTAATCCTTGAAGATCAAAATTGTTTTTAGTTTTACCGTTATGACTTGATAAGCAGTCGCTATGAGTCGAGTCAAGTCAAGTCGCGTCGCTGTCTAAACATTAAAAACAAAACTGTCGCCTTTGCAATTTTAGGCAAAAAGGGACAAAAGGATGAGTATGGTTTCCTTAAAAACAATTACGTTTTATTTTTTTTATTTAATAAACTTTTGTTGGGTTTTTTATATTAAAGTTTAGAAAAAGTTTTTTTTTTTCATTTATTTTGGTCTAATTTTCTCAGAATAAACTTGGTAAATATTTGCTGTAACAGAATTACATACTATCCCCTCAAAGCAACAGTCCCAGGACTGTTGAGTGAGAATTAATTGGAATAGGCTTCTCTAATTGTGGAGAAAGCTTTTACCATCCAAGTGATATACTTATTATAAAATTTGTCAATTAATTATAGTTTTAAATGCAACGTATAATAAAATAATTACTAAAATATAAACTTTAAAAGTTAAAGCTTTAAAGCCATTAATTGAAAACTTTAAAAGCTTTTCTAAAGTTTTAGTAAAAGCTTTATAACATCGCTTATTTAAAAAAAATTAATTGCTTAAATCAGATAAGCTCTTAATGTTGAAGCTTATAGTTGTAGCTTATACATATGTATATCCTAGAAGATTTTGTAAAAAATCCTTATCAAAACGTTTAAAATTTGCATCTATAAATTGAATAAAAACCCTTAGCATTAAAATTAAGCTTTTACGTTTTGTATTATTTAGTCGTTATGTACATTAAGCTCTTCTTAATGTCTCTCTTTCTGTTCAGTCTCTTGACAGTTAGTTTTGTTAGAATAAACTTCTTTCAATGTGGAGAAAGCTTTTACTTTAATAACTTATTGAAAGCTTTGATATTCGAAGCTTATTGAAAGTTTTGATATTTGAAAATTGATTCTTTTAAGGCATTAAACGAAAACTTTAAAAGCTTATTCAAAGCTTTGGTATTCGAAGCTTATTAAAAGCTTTATAACTTTGTTTATTTTTTTTTTTTAAATAGTTTAGTTAAACGAAAAAATTGTTATCAAAACTTTAAAATTTAAATTTATGTCTTGAATTTAAAATCTCAACATTGAAATTAAGCTTTTAAGAATTGTATCATTGAAATGTTTTGTTTACATTAAGCTCTTCAATAACTTACAAGTAAAAAGTGAATTTAAGTCAAAAAAAAAAAATCGAATTTTGTTATTTGTATTTTAGTATTTTTTTAACAGGATTAACTTTGATAAGGAAGCATTTAATCCCAAAAGCTTTTTCGAAAATCCTTATTAACGCTATTTTTGTATATATTTTAAGTTTTTTTAATCTTCAGTCGATTTCTTACTTAAACATTGACATTAAGCTTTTTGGAAAACTGTATGACTAAAAAAGCTTTCAAAACTTTATGGCTTACGTTTTAATAGCAAATATAATTTGAACAAAATATTCAATCTAATGATATGGGGACTTCTAGTTACTAGCTGATATTCTTGTAATTTGTGTAAAAAATAAACTTTCAAAACTTTAACATTTGACTCTAGAGCTTTTATATATACTAAAATGAGATTTAATATCTTAAGATTTGTAGCAAGCAGATATTTATTTATGCTTTGAAACTTAAGCTTAAGCATTTCAAAATAAATCACTATCCTAATAAAAAGCTCTTAAAGCTTTAAAGCTTGCGTTTTAACTCAAGAAAAATAATTCATTTAATAAGAGTTTGAAAGATTTCAGTTAAATTTCCAATTGGATTACATTAATTAATTGCTCAAGGGAAATTATACATATATTTCTTGACAAGAAGCTTAAAAACAAAAGTTTTTTTTTTAATTGCAATGGAAAAAACATAAACTCAAATAAATATATATGCTGCAAACTAGTAGTAGCTCTGATAAAAGTTTTAGTCTTTTTTCACTTTTAAAAAAACGATGACTATAAAAAACAACAATGAAGATTTTGTTGAAGAAGATATGAGAGAGCTGAACATTTCAAGGTTTTCCAAAGCAAAACATAATAAAACTTTATATTCTTCTAATACTGCAACTCCTTTTTTTAAAACAACCATATAAAATTAAGAATAATGAAAAAAATAACTTTGTCTTTTAACTTGTATACATTCTTTATCGCAGACATTTTGGAGTGCAGAAAGAAAACGTGATGTTGTCAGATTTTTGCATGCAAATTGCTTTTATGGTTGGTTTCTTAACAGTCTGCCCGAGTCTTACTATATTTTACTTACAAAATTTTTTTTTAAAATATTTTTCTGAATCTCTTATTTACTACGCCTAAGGATTCAAATACTTATAAAAACACTTGGTTGAGGAAAAAAAAAAAAAACAACAAAATCCTTAAGTTTATTATACTTTATAGAATTTTTTCTGTGTGCGTGTGCTTTGGCATAATGCAAGTTATTTTGAATTTTCCAAATACATAACAAATATTTAATTTAATTTTTTAAAGCTTTAAGGAAATTGAAAAAATCAGAATCCATTATTTGTTTTTGTAATCGTTTGTGTTTAATGGTATTATAGTCAATATTGAGAAAGCAAAAATTTAAGAAATGTTTCCCTCGATTTTTGCTTATGTACTTCAAAATCATCTCATGTGCATAAATATGTATGTATTTTTTATCAGAACTTTATCAAAGAAACCTCAAAACTTGTATTCAGCCAAACAGTGCGTGTGCGGTTGTATTGATTTTAGCCCAACCATATTAACTTAACATGAATATGAGCTTTTGGGAGTTGCCAATTTTAAGGATTTTGGATTTTTTTGGAAATATTACAAAAAAAGCTTCTGGGATAAATAAAGCTTTCAAATGTACGAATCTTTAATAACTTTCAAGGTTAAATATTATTTAAAAATTTAAGATTAAAATTTAAGGATTCAGAAATAAATTTACTTCTGGTGAAAATCACTAGATAATTTAGGTAAAAATATTAATATGAGCTTTAGGAGTTGCCAATTTTAAGGATTTTCAGAATTTTTTTAAACAAATTCAAAAAAATACTTAAAACCTTTTAGGATAAATAAAGCTTAAGAGCTTTTATGATAAATAAAGTTTAAACGTTTTTAGGATAAATAAAGCTTAAAAGCTTTAAATGGATGAAGCTTTCAAAACTTTTAAGAGAAGACGTATTTTAAAGTTTATAAGTTTAAGGTTAAAAGTTTCCATTATGTTTATTTAAAAGCTTTTAGACATAATTTTAATTTAAAAGCTTTTGGTTTATTGTTAACAAAAATGATTACATTTATTCATTAGCAAAATCAACGCTAAACTTTAAATATTGATATTAAGCTCTTCAAAAACAGACACACTAAAAAAAGCTCTCAAAACTTTATGGCAAAAATTATTTGAACTAAAGAGATAATGTAATGATGTGTGATTTAAAACTTATTTCTACCTAAAAGCTTTAAGATATAATTTTATTTTACAAAAGCTTTTGGTTTGCTGTTGATTTTTTAATATTAAAAAAAGCTCTCAAGTAAAAATCTAAATAATTTAAAAAATGTAAAAAAAGCTTTAAATAAAAAATTTTTATGATTTTTCAGGTAAAAATAAAAAATCTAAAAAGCTTTTTATTAATCATAGCTTTGTTTGATATATTTTTAGTTTTAAGAAAAAAGCTTTTTTAGTGATTTAAAAAGGACATTGTAAAATAAACTAATTACGAAATGCCTTTAAGCTTTTTTATTCACTAGCAAAAAACTCTTAAAAATTACTATCTTAAAGCTTTGAAATGAAAAGGGTATTGCTAAAAACAAATCGCTATTGTGCACTCAAATATTCGAATCTGAAAGAAAATATTAAAAGCTTTAATGAAAACATTAAAACTATAAACCAATACAAAAAGTTTTTTCTTAAATCAATTAAACATTGGCAACTCTGTTATCTTTATTACCATGACGATGGTTATGATGATGACGTTTAATGTTCATACAAAACAATATTTCCTTTAAAGGTATGTACATACATACGTTAGCATGTATGTATACCTACGTTCCATCATCGAAGTAAAATTATGTATTTTACACTCAATATTTTCTCCCTACTTTTGCCCACTTCAAGGTATGCATATCTTCTTTACATGATTTATGCAATGGACTGGTGGGATAGAAATAATATTGAACAGCAATAGCAAGAATCAGAATCAGAACAACAACAACAACAAAAATCGCTATAAACATATTTGTAGTTAAATTCAAAGAATATCTGCTGTTTTTTTTATTGCAAATGTATGCCAATCGGTTGAAGTCTTTAGATTTTTTTTTTTTAATTTTTTTCTGTTCTTAATTCTGTCTTTTAAGGCAGGAAGTTAGTGTAGCGGGAACGAAAGGAAGAAAATCAACCTCAATCAGGCAATAACCAGAACACACCAAATAAAGAAAGAAAAATATGGCCTAAAGGCAACAAAACCAAAAAGATGAAGGCATTTTTTTGCAAATATGAGCGAACGAACGAACGCAATCTGGAACAATGTTTTAATATTGACTTTAATAGATGCAGTCAAGCAAGGCAGAGTTTCGTTTGGGTATGTGTGTGAATATAATTGATGATAGTGTTCAGGAAAACCCAACATTGAAAAGGGGAGCAAATAAAGAATCTTCTGTATTTATTTTGAAAGCTGCAACAATTCTTTACCTGAAGGAGGTTGAAGATGTATGTATTGCAGAAGAAGATTCAATTAGGAAATATTAAACAAAAATATTTGATTTTTGTATTTTGGGGGGGAATTTAAATGGAAGTTCCATTTAACAGAGATTTATGTTTTATTTTTCAAAGGTTTTAAGTCAAAGTAAAGTTTAGAGGAATTATTATACAAAAGAAACACTATTTATATCTTATAAAGTGTATCAAAATTAGTCCGAATTTTTCAAGCCTTACGTATCAGAAACAACTTACCAAATTTACAACTAGAAAAACGATTAAAAATCTTACCTGAAAATAGAGAAGCAAAAAATTGATTTTAATATAAAAAGAAAAAGTAAAATAATTTTAAACTAAAACTTTTCAAATTTTGACTATAGTCAAACCCTATAGACTAGACTAGACTGTACTCAAGCCTATATATAGGCTGTAGTGAAGACTATAGCTAGACTTCTATCTATAATGTAGGCTTGACTAGATAATAGAGTTGACTATAGTACAGACTATAGACTAGACTATAGTCCAGACTATAAACTATACTATAGTCCAGACTATAGACTAGACTATAGACTAGACTATAGACCAGACTATAGACTAGACTATAGTCCAGACCATAGACTAGACCGTTTATAGTCCAGACGATAGACTAGACTATAGTCCAGACTATAAACTAGACTATAGACTAGATTATTGTCAAGACTATTTATTCTCTGGACTATAGTCTGAACTATAGACTAATCTACAGTAAAAAGAATAGACAAAACAATATACTATCTAGATTTTCGTTAAACTTGTAGACTAGACTATAGACAAGACTATAGAGCAGCCTATAGACAAGACTATAGAGCAGCCTATAGACTAGACTATAGACTAGACTATAGACTAGACTATAGACTAGACTATAGACTAGACTATAGACTAGACTATAGACTAGACTATAGACTACACTGTAGACTAGACTATGGATTAGACTATAGACTAGACTATAGACTAGACTATAGACTATACTATAGACTAGACTATAGACTAGACTATAGACTAGACTATAGACTAGACTATAGACTAGACTATAGACTGGACTATAGACTAGACTATAGACTAGACTATAGACTAGACTATAGACTAGACTATAGACTAGACTATAGACTAGACTATAGACTAGACTATACACTAGATTAAAGACTAGACTATACACTAGATTATAGACTAGACTATAGACTAGATTATAGACTAGACTTTAGACATCTTAGTCCAATGTACGTATTTCCTAGAAACGTTTATTTAAAAAAAAATTTTAGACATATCGGTCCCAAATATTTCGTACATTATTCATAAACATCATAGCTTTTTCAAAGTAAAACCCAAACAAAAACCTAAATATGTACTTCTAGTACTTATAAGGAGGAATAAATTGCCTCCCAACTGCTGCAGCCGATGAATATGATACTATGAAGTACTAAACTACTACAACTACTCCATTTTACTGATCTTTAATAATGATGATACTTACTCTAGTATATGCTGGTGGTGCAGGCTGTAAAAAGACGACAAAAGAAGTCTGTCTGCCTGTGTATGATATTGAGGTAAAATTATTTTTAAAACTGAAACCACGTACCAAAGGCTCGTAAATTAGTTGTGAGGGTGTAGACAGAAAACACCAGGCGCAATCATACACATACACACACAAAAAATAAAAGAACACACAAGAAAAAAGTCGAAAGAAACCAGCAGTAAGTAAAGCATAAAAAAATAGATGCATCGTATGAAATCCAAATAACTACAGAAATCGGCACATAAACATTAACTGAAACTATAAAACTTAGCAGTGTGCAGCAGAAAAGTATGGATAGTTTATGAGAAATTGTAGAGGATGGTAAGACAAGTATTTGCACACAAAACAAAGTACAAAGTAAACTTCCAAAACACTTCTCACACCATCCTCGGCAAAAACAAGCAAAGATGCATCATTTACTCTTTTAAATGGTCAAGTGTAAAATGAATTGGTTGGATAAAGTGCACTCCCATGGAGTTATTTTTTTTTTCTGCTGTAAATATTTATTGAACACAATAAACCAACAAATGGAATAGACCAAAAATCAGGCATGAGATTGGCAGGGCATGTAATATAAATGCGTACGATTTTGTATGTTTAATAAACTGAATATCTAGTTTGATGTTCATAATCCCCTTTATTTGTTGGATGCAGCAGAAATATGAACATACTTGAATGATTATTGAAAGAACAATGACTACAATAATAATAAAAAAAAAACTAAAACATAATTTAAAAGCCTTAAGGCATTTTGCTCCCCCCATTAAGAGCATTTAATGGACTTAAACACGAGAATTTCAAAAGTTAATTTTAGAACATTGAAAACAAAAAAATAAAGAAGAAATGTAGATTTGAAACGTTTAATAGTCCAGACTATAGTCTAATCTAGAGTCCAGACTATAGTATAATATATAGCTCAGACTATAGTCTAATCTATAGTCCAATCTATAGTTCACACTACACTCTAATCTATAGTCCAAACTATATTCTAATCTCTAGTCCAGACTAAAGTCTAATCTATAGTCGAGACTATAGTGTAACCTATAGTCGAGACTATAGTCTAATCTATAGTCGAGACAATAGTCTAACCTTTAGTCCAGACTATAGTCTAATGTATAGCCCAGACTATAGTATAATCTATAGTAGAGACTATTGTATAATCTATAGTCCAGAGTACGGTCTAATCTATAGTCCGCACTACATTCTAATCTATATTCCAGAATATAGTCGAATATATAGCTCAAACTATAATGTAATCTATAGTCCAGACTATAGTCTAATTTTTAGTTCACACTATAGTCTAATCTATATTACAGACTATAGTCGAATATTTAGTCCAGACTATAGTTTAATCTATATTCTATGTTCTGATGTATAATCTGATCTAAGTCTGATCTATAGTTTAGTTTATAGTTCTAGTTCTTTAATCCATTCCGTACAATAGTTCGATCTATATATAGTCTGTATTATAGCCAAAACAACAATCTGGACTATAGCCTGGACTGTGTATATAGTCTGGACAAAATTCAATGTCTGTTCTAAAGTCTGGTCTATAGTGTGGTCCATAGCCGGTTCTATAATCTAGAGTTACGACTATACGAACTTAACGGTGGACTTTAGTCCGATCTATAATTTGATCTATAATCTGGACTTAAGTATGATCTATAGTCTGGACAAAAGACTGATCTATAGTATTGATTATAGTCTGATCTATAGTCAGGACTACATTCTGATCTTTAGTCTGAACAACGGTCTAATATGTATCATTAATTATAGCCCGATCTCTTAATACTTCTGATATGAAGTTAATGGTCAATTTTATTCTCCCAAGAATACTCACTTTATTGTACCCAAGTAATCAAGAAAGAAGTCACTTTAATTTTTTTTTCTGATGACCCTTAAACAATGGTTATTTAACCCATTAGACACAGAGTTATAGGTCCAATATAAATATAACATTAGATCAAACCCCCGAACTGTTGGGTATACCACAACCCCAGAGACACTTAAAAATGTTTATGTTTGCACAATTTAGAAGGGCAGAAAGAAATAAGGAAGAAGGTAGTGGTGGTGGTGGGATGCCAAAGTGGTTAAATATCTCCTTCTTCTTGTTCTGCTTGTTCGTGCATTCGTTTTAAGTTATTAATGACTTTGACCTATGACTGTGCATTAAATAGTTTTTTTTTCCTTCTGCGAGATAATATTTTCTTGCTCGATTTTCCATCTCCAAGTGGGTTTGGTTTTTGTTGTTTTCAGTTTTTTTTTGTTCTCTATTATTGTCATAGTTGCTGTTGTTTTAAATCCCCAGTGCAATTTCAATCCAGCAATTTGCTTTGGTACGTGTTTGAATGCGAGTTTTACAGTACAAAAAGATCTATTTCAGTGCATGTGCCGAGAGAATATTGAAATACTTAAATATTTTTGCGTTTAATGCACTTTTTTCACTTAATTAAGATTAATTGTGAACTACACTACATTATAAATACTTTTTTTGTCTTCATTTTTGTAAAAGCTGTCATTATGGTTTTATTTTAGATGTACATATATTAAAATTGAGTTTTTTTTTGTTGTTGTTGTAGACAGGCGATACAAGATACGATTAGAATAAAATGTCATGAACATTTAAATGGCCAAAGGAAATATTCGTCAAAATAATTGCTAACGAGGTTAATTTGTTCAAATACAGACATTTATTCTTTCATTTGCTTACTCGCTCATTCCAATAAAATTATTTTTAAAACTCACACAAACAAAAATTCCCCTCTCCATTAAGTGTTAATTAATGTTTGCCACTATCTACGACCAAGTATCTTGACGTTTGTATCTTTCTATCTTATGCATCTTGGTATATATTTAATGATGCATCTAAATACGCCAAGGATGCAGTTTTTGCTTTATTTATTTATGCCTTTCTTAAATTTATGCAAAATATAAGCAAACAAAACTTGTCCAAGTCGTTCTGCTCTTAAGGCATTATTTCAATTTAACAAAGTTGCAAACATGCTGAGATATTTACGCTTAGATTTCTAGTCAGTTTAGAGATAGTTTTATAGTTATAAATACATTATTAGTGTGTTTGTTGGTGTATTGGACATAAGTGAAATTTAATATTGCCAAGATAAAAATCTTATTAATTAATGCATATTTCTTATGGTTAAATAGTTAATTAACAACAACTTGTGTCTAATAGAAAATAATAGGAAAATGTGTTTTGGGGAGTTATCAAAATTTCTGCTGGAAACTGGAAATTAAGAAGATAATTGTTCTTACGTTAGTTAGTAGTTAGTTAGTTAGTTAGTTAGTTAGTGGCCTCCGGTAGGTTAGTGGTTAGTGTTCTAGACTGGTAGACCGGAGGTGGTGGGTTCGATTCCCACCTGAGGCACTGGTTAAGGAGCGCACAACAGGCCCGATAGAGGCCTAGGTGTATTTCTTCGGATTTGATGTATATACATCATCCTTTCAAACTAACTAACTAACTAACTAGTTAGTTAGTTAGTTAGTTAGTTAGTTAGTTAGTTAGTTAGTTAGTTAGTTAGTTAGTTAGTTAGTTAGTTAGTTAGTTAGTTAGTTAGTTAGGTAGTTAGTTAGTTAGTTAGTTAGTTAGTTAGTTAGTTAGTTTAGTTAGTTAGTTAGTTAGTTAGTTAGTTAGTTAGTTAGTTAGTTAGTTAGTTAGTTAGTTAGTTAGTTAGTTAGTTAGTTAGTAGTTAGTAGTTAGTTAGTTAGTTAGTTAGTTAGTAGT